ACAGTGGCTGTATTACTTTACATTATAGTATATTTTTATACATATCTTTTGAACAGTACTCTAAACACAAAACCATGTATACAGCACTTCCATAGTGATAAGGAATTTTTGAGCATAATTTTGAGTATATGATTTTTATTTTGTGCACTTACCACATGTGAGATTTTTGGTGATGCAAGAGCATTGTTACCCATGTCAGAGTTGGCATGCATAAATCACCTGCAACTAACATGGTATTAGTTGTAGGTGATATAGAGAACAAGAACTCAGATAATGAGGTAAAATTTTGCTCTAGTATTTAATTTTTGGATAAAGTAATGTCATTTTACTTTTTGGGCATTTACACTCTGTAACCAAGAACATGGAGCTGCAACTTTAGTAATCATGACTGGTGTCTTACAATGTTGGAAAGGGCATGGGTTTTGAGTTTGACAATCTTGTTTTTGAATTATGTCTTCAACACCTTAGCCTCAGTTTCATCTTTTATAAAGGGTGTACTATTTTCTTACTAAGTCACTATGAGAATTGGGTCATGTATATGAAAATGAATTTTTTTTTCCTGTAGAATTAATTACTGAATCACAAACTGATCACTTCTCAGAGCTCCTACACCCCATCCAGGAAATTGTTGGCTTTACTTGCCTTTTTCATTTAAAAAGATCTTTTATTTCTGTTTCTTCTACCATTATAAATCTTACTGTTTCAATTTATTCTGTTTAAGTTTTATTTTAATATTGGTTGACTGGCTTATGAAATAAAATTATTCTCTAAATGAAAATTTGGGTTAGGATATTTGGGGGTGGGAAGAGTTTATTTCAAAGCTCATTTTGAAAGCTTATGCCAGAGAGATTACATTAAGGCAATTTCTCTATACTTGAAATTCCCTAAAAGTTTGTACCTCTTCACATATTTCAGATGAATAAATCAGGTTCCATAGCTTTTGAGTATCTTATCCAAGATTTTATAGCTACTTAGTGAAAGAGATGAGATGGAAGTTCGCTCTTTTGCCTTGAATTTCCAGTGTTCTACCACAGCAGACCACTCTCCTACGCTTTACCATTCATGAGATTATGTTTGGCAACAGGCTTATGTGGCGTCTCTCTGTGGTGCTAGAAGTGTGCCAATGTGTTTGTTTTTGTTTTAACTACTTAAGGGATTTCTTGCTGCTTTATCCCTTTCCTTCCCTCTAAACCTCCCTCTAAACTGAAAACATCTCTGTACAGGTCACTAGTTAAAAAAAAAACAAAAAACAAAAAAACTGAAAACATACATACTTTTGCAAACTTTTTTAAAATTAAAAAGCTAACAGAAACAATCAAAAAGCAAAACCTCAATATGTCATCTTTTATTTATAGTAATTTACTTTCTAGAAGCTTTTTAATTCTTAAGCCCCAATGTATTCTTTCCTTTCCAGCATTCCACAAATTACTTCCCTAAAATTCTAATAAACTGTAGTTAAGGAAATAATATCTTAGCATCAAAGATAGTAGAAGTATAGATAGGATGCTTGTGGACTCTACATTTGAGCCCTTGTTTTTTACACATACAGTTTTTGGATGTTAAAGTTGGAGGACTCATTAGAAATCAACTCTAAACCCCTAATTTTATATATGAGGAAAATAGATAGTGGCAAATCCAAGTTTGCAAACTAGGAATCCTGAATTGTTTATAAATACATGCACGATTTGTTTTTTTAAACTTATAATTTGAAATAATTATAGATTTCCAGGGAGACACCATTTCATTATATTTTTCTTCTAATTATTAACAGAAATTAGAAGTAGTTTATAATAATTTTCCTAAAGGAAATGAAAATAATTTTCATTTTTTTTTAAGTTTGGCCATTTGAATTGCAAAAATAATACATTTGGGGGGCAACAATTTAGATAATACAGATTTTTCTTTAAGTTAATAGTCTCTTACCTCTTTTGTCTTTTGTGATACAGTAACATTTTGGTGTTTAAACTTTCATATGTTTTATTTTCTTAGTGAAATAAATAAAATATATACACATACAGGGTTTATATATTTATATGGAAGTAATTGTATATTTGTGTTAATCTCCAGCTCGCTGTTCTTAAAAAGCATAACTATAGTATAGACATCTTTCTGAGTTAACACATATAGATCTACCTATGGCCATGTCATAATTTACTTAGTTATTCTGTTGATGGATGCTATGTTGTTGGCAGTTTTCTACTCTGATGAACAATGCTGCAGTATTTATGTTGAATAGATTCTTAGATCCATGGTATAAGGGAGCAATTAAGAACATAGATTCTAGGGCTGAAACTTTCTCAAAGGAATCCCAGCTGCGCTAATACTGTATAACTTGAAGCAAAGAAATATGCTCCACTTTCTGTTTTGGGAAGAGGGACTAGATCAGTATCTCTACTTTCGGGGTATAACTAACTGTGACAGAATTATGGGGGAAAAATGCTTTCTTGCTGTTGACTAAAGAGGTTGATCATCTTATTGGTGGGGGTGGTTCTAGTCTCATTCTATGGCTCTATGTAGAGTGCAGTGGTGTTATAGTTTACTGCAACCTCAAACTCCTGGGCTCAAGTGATTCTCCTGCCTCAGCCTCCCAAGAAGCTGGGACTATAGGCACCCACCACCACGCCTGGCTAATTTTTTCTATTTTTGATAGAAATGGGGTCTTGCTCAGGTTGGTCTTGAACTTTTAAGCTCAAGCGATCCTCCTGTTTTGGCCTCCCAGAGTACTAACTAGGATTGTAAATGTGAGCCACCTCACCCAGTCAGATCATCTTTTCATGTATCTTAATTACTTGTAATTGTTCTGTGAACTAGGCATCATATTCTGTTCTTATGTTTTTTTTTTTAAACTTATTTGCCTTTTTTTCTCTTTGTAAGATTTCTTTGTACATTTTGGACATTAACTCCTCATTATGTATAGTGAACATATCCTTTATTCTGTTTCTTGTCTTTAATTTTGTTTATATTATCATCTTTCCATGTTGCTAAGTTGATCGTATATCCTTTTATGGCTTCTGAATTTTTGCTTAGGAAGGCCTTTTGTATCCCAAGATTAAAAAAAAAAAGTCTTTTTTTTTTCTTCTAAACTTCAGTAGTTTATTTCAATGTATAGCTCTTTAGTCAGATCATTTGGGATTTATTTTGATTGTAGTGTGGATGTCCACATAGCTTCAAGTGGATAGCCCAATGTCCCATTACTGTTTACAAAATGGTCCATCCTTTTTCTGTGGATTTTTAATGTAACTTTTATCAAATATTAAAATCTCATAAATTCATGTGTCTGTTTCTAGATTATTTAGTTTCTTTGCTCTTTTGTTTATTTTTCTATAGCAGACATTTAAAAATTATTTAGATTATTGTAGCAGTTTTGTATGGTTCAGTATCTTATAGAGCAAATCTGCACATTTTCCCCCCACAAGCTTCAAAACGATTTTCATGCATTTACTCCTTTATGTAAACTTTAGAATCAGTTTGTCAATTACATTAAAAAAACCACTGTGATTTCTATAGGGATTACCATCAAGTTAGAGATTAGTTTGCAGGGTATCAGTTTTTAACTTAAAATATAAGTGATTTCAACCTAACCATTTACTCTAACAGTGACATTAACCTAAATTGTTACCTAAAATTTTTCAACTCTATATGATCTAAAAAGTTATATTATTTAATTTTTAAAAAGTGTTTGGGATATGAAGGTCTGTTATCTTTCTTCCCCCTTCTTATTTCTTGTAAGCTTTTGGTAGCATCACCATAGGATTACTTTTGTTTAATATGTGTTTATTTTCCCAGTTTTCATTGACACATTATTATATAATTAATTGTATACAGGCTCTATGGCATCTTAGTTTTGCATTCTTTCTTTCTTTTCTTTTTTTAGTTCTAGCCTATATTTTTTGTGTAAAGAGTTTGATGTCAATATGTAACTGTAGATGATTCAAGTCTCTTTCATTTGGTTTGTTTTGTAAAGTGTGACATATTATAGAATACTATAATACCTCTTCAGATATGGGGCAGGTCAAAGATAAGACAGTTTTTTTGTTTGTTTTTTGAGACAGGGTCTCACTCTGTTGCCTGGGCTAGAATGCAGTGGCATTATGATAGCTTACTGTAACCTTAAACTCCCAGGCTCAAGTGATCCTCTTGCCTAAGCCTCCTGAGTAGCTGACTACAGGTGCGCACCACCATTCCCAGATAATTTTTCTATTTTTTTGTAGAGATCAGGTCTTGCTATATTGTTCAGGCTTATTTCGAACTCCTAGCCTCAAGCCATCCTCCCACCTCAGCCTCCCTGAGTGGTAGGATTACAGGTATGTGCCACCTCCCCTGGCTGATGTGACAGTTCAGAGTGCTGTTTAAGTGCTTCTTTACCTTATATATTTCCTTAAAATATGTATGATTAGTGCTGTAGGTTAATACTAAATGTTTTATATAGAAAAAAAGGAAGTTCTTTTGTATTTGTGTTGAATCTAAAATATTAATGATGCCAGGCCATTTATCTTGATGTACAAAAATTTTAAGAAATCCATTCTGAAATCCACTCTATTAAGGCAGTAACAATAGTTGCTCAGTGGGTATTTTTTAAAGTTTTTGATAAAGCAGGGCGTTGTGGCTCAGGCCTGTAATCCTAGCACTCTGGGAGGTCGAGGGGAGGTTGAGGTGGGCGGATCGTTCAAGGTCAGGAGTTCAAAATCAGCTTGAGCAAGAGTGAGACCCTGTCTCTACTAAAAAAATAGAGATTAATTGGCCAACTAATAAAAAAATTATCCAGGCCTGGTGGCGCATGCCTGTAGTCCCAGTTACTCAGGAGGCTGAGGCAGTAGGATTGCTTGAGCCCAGGAGTTTGAGGTTGCTGTGAGTTAGGCTGATGCCATGGTACTCTAGCCTGGGCAACAGAGTGAGACTCTGTCTGAAAAAAAAAAAAGTTTTTGATAATGTAACTCTTGATTGTTGACTATGCAGTTTTTTTCCAATAGTAAAAATGTATTTTGTTTCTTCTCATACAGGTCTTCAAAGTTCTACATTTTAGCTCACAGTGCTGAAGTTCCTTCTCCCTTAAATTATTATAAATTTTTGCTGCTGTTTAATAAACGTGAAGATGTCTCGCAGTCCTGATGCGAAGGAAGACCCTGTGGAATGCCCTCTTTGCATGGAGCCCCTGGAAATAGATGATATCAACTTTTTCCCTTGCACCTGTGGCTACCAGATTTGCCGATTTTGTTGGCATCGAATTCGCACTGATGAAAATGGGCTTTGCCCTGCATGTAGAAAGGTAAATACTTCAAAATAACTTTCGTTATTTGTTTTAACTGTACAGTTTTTTGCCATCATAAGTATGTACAAATGAATTTAAAAGACTGCAAACCTCAGGTGAGATTATGGTTAGCATTGTACTTTTAATGAGGTGGAAAGAACACTGCACTAGTAGAAGTCAGGGTCAAATCTTGGCGTTGTTAACTAGCTCTATGACCTTTGTAAAGTCAAATAACCTCTCTGGTTGGCCTTTAGTTTGATTTTTTTTTAATCTGACGAGAAGGACACAGTCAAGAGTGCTTGCTGTTTAAGGGGATTAGGAGTGGAGAAATAATTGATTTACATAGGATGGTATGAAATTGGAAAAACACATTTTATGTAGGAGGAAATTCATGTTAATTTTCTGTACAAAATAGAGAAGATGTTTACCAAAGGGGTTAACATGACATAGAAATCCTAGTTTCAGAAGATATTATTTGCTGATTTTGTTGAGCTTTTATAAAATTTCTAGGCTGGTATTGCTATTTCCATTTTATACTTGAGAAAATAGAAGCTTAGAGAACTTTAAGTAACTTGTCCAGAGTCATCAACTTGTGAGTAGGAGGTTTGAGATTCAGATATATCTTCGAGTCCAAAGTCTTTGTTCTGAACTATTATATTATTGAAAAGTCCTTTCTAACTTTCAAGATCCATGATTTTTAGTATTCTCTGGGGTTTTTTGTTTTGATAGGCATCTGCAACACAGAGTATAGTGAATGAGGTATTAGGGTAGGTAGAAATGCCTACTGCATTTCTATTTTGAAGGACTTTATTTGTGACCTTAGGGATTAATGCAAATATCTGTCACTTTATAGAATTTGCTTTCTCTTTAATGTCTCCTCGTATGCTCACCAGATTACCTGTTGGCACACACTGCCCAGATATTTGTCTTTGCTGTGGTCACAAAGAAGCATCTCACAGTAAACAGCAATATCATTGATAGAAAGGTTGACAGGGTTCTCACGTGTAAAAATATACAACAGCAAAGAATCAGCATAGTTTTTAGGAAAATCAACCTCATGAAAGAGAAGCACAAAAATCAGAAAGTAGAATAATCTAACAGGGAAACAAAGAGAAATGCTTGTAAACATATAATTGATACCATTCAGAGAAGTGAGAGAAAATGACATATTCATGTAGAAAGAATATTTTGGTTTTTTTTTTTTAAAAAGCCAATTAGATATGTTGAAAATGAAAAATCATATGGATGGCCTGAAGAGCAAAATGGACACATTTCAAGAGCAAATTGGTAAATTGGAAGATTATACTAAGTAGTTTTTTTCCAAAATATAATGCAAAAAGATAAAAAATAATGTGAAAGAAAAGTTAAGCAATGTAGACTATCTATAGATTCTAATCTCTGCTGAGAGCAGTTTCAGGAGTGAACTGAAAATGAATGGGAAGAAATAATCAAAGAACTAATAGAAGAAACTTCCTTATGATGAAAGCAATTGTCTTCAGAAGAGTGCTGTGAATGTGAAGCAAGATGACTGAAAAAGATCAACATCTATTTATATAATTGTGAAGTTTTAGAACACCTAGTAAAGACAAAGTTCTAAAAGCTCTTGAGTTATAAATACATATTGACTACAAAGGAACAAGAATAAAATTGATACCAATATTTTCATATTATAATCAAAGAAGAGAAAATAATTGAGAAATTATTTTCCCAAATTTTGATGGAAAACAACTTTGAAAGAATTCTCAATTTTATTCATATGTGAAGGCATAATAAAACATTTGCAGACATGCAGAAATTCATAAAGTTTTATTCATAAATCACCATATAGACAAGTATAAGAGTTGAGGATGACTACAAGGTTTTGAACTGAGCAACTGGAAGTAAAGCGTGGCCATTAACTAAAATGGGGAAAACTAAAACAGAAATGGACTTTTTTTTTTTTTTTTTTAGAAAATCAGGAATTCAGTTTTAGATATGTTAAGTATTATATTCCTATTAGAAATCTAAATGGAAATATTGAGTAGACAGGTCTGGATTTCAGATGAGGTTCTGGTATAGATGTAAATATTTGGGAGTCGTCAGCTTATAGTGTGTTATTTATTTTAATAAAATCATGAGACTAGATAAGATCATGAGAGAGAGTAAATGGAAAAGATGAGAGATTGTCTAAGGATGAGCACTCCAACATTTATAGGGGAAAAAATCCAGATTATAGAAGTCTAAGACAACTTCCTTTTAGGTCTCCAAGTTAAATCGTTAGCTGAGACAGTACTTGTTATTAGGTGATTGTTTGGTTTCTTATTGACTTAGTGTAACAACATCTAGGACCTCTCCTTGGTCTCCTGGCTGCCAGACCTTGCTCATTCCTGTCTCATGGCTGGAGTGAGTCTTGGAGGGCACACACAGGTAATAGAGGGTCTTGGGTCTGAGATCTGGCTTAGCATTGCCAGAGAATATGCTGAAGACAGGATTAATATTTATGACATTGCCCATCTCAGTCAGGGTCCAGTAAATCTTCAGCCTCTGGAGGCCAGTCCCCATGATTGTATTAACACAGAAGAAAACCACAAGTGTTGCTAGAGGCCTGGAGAGGACCCTGAAGCTACGATTTACACGTCACCCCAACTTTGCAGGGAGAGAGCCTGCAGAGGTCACTCTGTGAGATGGCATATTGAGATGATTTGAATAAACTTGTAGATGTAGGTAGAGCATTAGTTGAATCAAGCCCCTAATTTTGGTCTACAAAATGAAACCTGCCTGTGCATAAAGGGCCTCTTTGCTTAAATAGCTTTGAAAAGCCAAAACAGGTATTAAAAACCAAGAGAATTTAGTGTTTGTTTGATCTTATCTGCTACTTGGTCATTTCTTAGACTGCCTTTGTATACCTTTTTAGTGTACGATACCTGGTGAAAGCAGCAGATGAGGGAACATAGGTGTTGCACTGACATAACATTATATAATATTGACTCACATGGAAACTAGGACTAGACAGTGAATTGAGAACTTCAGCAGAAGTATTATTTTTATCTCGAAAATAATAAAAGATGTATTTATGAAACGAGTAGAATTGTATAAAAAATATTCAGTGAACGGTAACCATTGTTATTGAAATATAATAGAAATAAGGAACGTTTTGGAAGATAAGATTGAGAAGATCTCTTAGAAAGTAGCACAAAAATCAAAAGAGATAGAATATTTGAGAAAAGAGAAGTTTATTTGAGGATCAATCAGGAGGTCAAATACCAAATAATTAAGTGCTCTAGAAAGAAAGATTACACTGAAACAGAGGAGAAGTAATTATCCAAAATATGATTGAAGAATATTTCCCAGAACCAAAGAACACATTTCCAGATTGAAAGGGCCTATCAAGTGTCTGGCAAAAACTTTTTTATTTTGAAATATCAGAATGCCAAAGACAAACAAAGTTCTACAAGCTTCTGGGGAGGAATACAGTAGGTAGGTCACATGTAAAAGATCAGGAATCAAAATCATTTTTGACTTCTCAACAGCAACACTTGAAGCTAGAAGACACTTCTGAAGGAAATTAATTTTCGTCCTAGGATTCCATATCTGCTCAACTGTTAAATGTGAAGGTACACTAAAAGACATTTTCAGACATGAGAGGTCTCAAAAAATGTTTACCTTCCATACATTCTCTGTCAAGAATCTAATGGAAGATGTACCCTGCCAACATAATGAAATAAGGAAGAGAGAAGGATACATGGGATAAAGGAGACAGGTGATCCAACATAGGCGAGAAGCAACAGGAATCCTGGGATGATGGGGAAGGATGACAGCTCTGCCCCTGGTAAAGAGGGCAACCAATCCAAAATGTGACACCTCAGAAAGCTCCAATAGAGATTTCTGTAAAAAGATAAAATTGAAAGAATATTGGTGTTTCAAAAGAGAAATGTCTTGTGAGGCCACTTGAATAATTAGAAGAGATTTGATGGTTGGATTAGTAATAAACACATAGACATAATTTCAGACAAGACATAGTTATTAACTCTAGAGGAAACAAAAAGTTGTACAGAAAAGAAAAAGCAATCATATTATGCTACAGTGGCTCACATGAGGTAGAGGTCTAGATTTATTTTTTCTAAACAAATATTCTGTTATTGTGCCATCATTTGTAGAAAAGATTATCCCTTCAATATTTATTGATTTAGGAATCTTTCTTAAAAATCAGTTGCCCATAAATGTGTAAATATATTTCTAGAGTCTATATTTTGTCCATTGATGATTATGTCTTTATGCTAAATACTACACTGTCAAGATTACTGTAAGTTTTAAAATCTGGTATGACAAGTTTTTTAACTTTTTTACTCTTTGAATTTATTTTGGTTATTCTAAGTCCTTAGCATTTGCAAATAAATTTTTGAACCAATTTGTCAGTTTCTACAAAAAGCCTGTTGGGATTTCTTTTCTTTTCTTTTTCTTTTTTTGTTTTTCTGAGACAGAGTCGATCTCTCTCTATTACCTGGGCTACAGTGCTGTGGCGTCAGCCTAGCTCACAGCAACCTCAAACTCCTGGGCTCAAGCGATCCTCCTACTTCAGTCTTCCAATTAGTTGGGACTACAGGTGAATGCCACCGCACCCGGCTAATTTTTTCTATTTTTAAGGGAGATGGGATCTTGCTCTTGGTCAGGCTGGTCTGGAACTCCTGACTTTAAGGGGTCCTCCCGCCTCAGCCTCCCAGAGTGCTAGGATTACAGGCATGAGCCACTGTGCCCAGCTGACTATTAGGATTTTAACTGAGATTTCCTTAACTACACAGGCCATTTTAAGGAAAAATGACATCTTAAAAATGTTGATTCCATCAGTTAATGAATAAGATATCTTTTAATTTTTCTAGGTTTTAAAATTTTCTTTAGCAGTATTTTATAGTTTTCAATATACAGAGTGTAGTATAGCATGTTTTGTTAGGTTTATCTGTATTATAAATATTCATTTTCCATTTCTTTATTGCTGTTGTACAGTTTTTGTATATTGACCCTCTATCCTGAAGCCTTGTTAA